CTGATCAAAATCCAGCCGACCGCCCGAGTCGGCGAGATGTTTTTTGCAAACACAGGGCGAATCGCTAGCGCAGCAGGGAAATCAGGTGGACAAGCAGCTGGCTGAGTACTTGGAGCTTTTGTGGCAGGAGGGTGAATCTCAATACCTAGCCGCAGACACTTTATCTGCTGCCCAACACACTCAGCCCTCCTTAAAGCGCAATTTAAACCAGAGTTGGCGGTTGTTGAACGCCTGGCAACAGCATGAGCTGCCTGCTCGAGCCCCCCCCATTAACCATGCAAACATTGTCTTTCTTGCTAGGGTGGTTGCAGCCGCGCCATCCTCACGTGGCATTGGGGCTTCTGGTCGCTTTCCACGCTTGCCTCAGAACTGGTGAGCTGCTCACATTGCAAGCGAAGAGTTTGTTGGCATCTTCATCGACGCAGCTTGTGATTTATTTAGGCCACACCAAGACTTCAGGTAGAAATGCGGGTGCTGATGCCGTAACCATTTCAGACCCAACTACGACACAAGAAGCCCGATGAGCACTTGATAAACATGCCGGTTTCCAAATTCAGACAGTTGTTTTCGGATGCGCTTCTGCAGGCAGGTTTGGCTGACCGTGGCTTCAAGCCGTATTCCTTAAGAAGGGGTGGGGCCACTCACGCGTACTTAGCTTAATATAGCTACTCTTTTGTTTCGCAGCTGGGACGTTGGACTTCGGAACGCACGGTGAGAGTGTATGTCCAGGACAGTCTTGCCATTCTCGCTGATCTCAAGCTTTCTCCAACTCCGTGGCAGAAGCAACTGCAAGCGCAGTGGGCAAGTGTGTGCCGGCGTTGCAGCACACACTCAAACCCTTCGGGTAGGAAGCGGGGACGTGGAAGATGATGCGGTGATGCAGGTGTACGTGCATTTTTTAGTTTTGTTTGGTAGGTTTCTGCGCTTGGGGCGCTGCGCTTGGGGCGCTGGTACAGTATGTAAAAGGCCTTGGGGGCCTTCAGTCAACGGAGTGCTTGCAAGCTCTCCTGAGCATCGGGCATTTTACCCTGCTCGGTTTGGTTTCTTGAATTGGACAGGTTTCCACTTTTTGTACGCACTCACCGAGCGCTATGCTACCAACTTCTTGCGGAGCGAAAAGGCAGGCGCGGCAGTCCTTGTCTCATGCTTCATGATTTAGGACTGCTGGCCGGATCTTTTTCGGCTTACAAAAGGTTTGCGACTCCGGCCCGCCGCTCCCCAGGAAGATGATGCGGTGATGAGGTGTACGTACATTTTTTAGTTTTGTTTGGTAGGTTTCTGCGCTTGGGGCGCTGCGCTTGGGGCGCTGGTACAGTATGTAAAAGGCCTTGGGGGTCTTCAGTCAACAAGGAGACAAGGAGTGCTTGCAAGCTCTCCTGAGCATCGGGCATTTTACCCTGCTCGGTTTGGTTTCTTGAATTGGACAGGTTTCCACTATTTGTACGCACTCACCGAGTGCTATGCTACCAACTGCTTGCGGGAGCGCCGGACTGTGGAACGAGCGGCGGGCGAAGTTGCGCACCGATAAAGAGACGAAGACGCTTCTGGACCAGCCAGCGCAAGGCCACCTCGTTCGTCACAAGCCGCTTCTACCTGGACGACTTCGCGCAGTCCAGCGAGGACCCGAACCCTCGGCCTCTGCAGCACACCCCTGCAGGCAATTCCCGAGGACGGCTTCCGCACGGACAAGGACGTGTGGCTGGCCCGGAGGTCCAAGGCGCTTCGTCGAGGACGACCTGGCAGGAGACCCCAAGGCCGGCGCCTTGGCAAGCAACGGTCAGGGCCCGCCCTCCATCACGGACCGCCTGCGCAGCACGGCCGACGGCGCTCAGGCGGCAGCGGACCTTGTGGGCGCAGGAGCAGCAGGGCTCGCAGCCGCGCAGGCCTTCCGCTTGCAGCTCCCCCAGGACGCAGCCGAGTACGTGCGCCTGAACGAGCTGCCCCGTGGCGCGCAGCCGCAGCCGCCCCCGCAGATCATAGGTTTGCCCGACGACGTCGAGCGCCTCCTGGACGAGGCAGGGCAGCGTGCGCAGGAGGTGGAGCGTGGCGCAGCGCAAGCCATCGAGGAGACGGCAGCCGTGGCTGCGGAGGAGGGTGAGGTTGCCGTTGCCGCCGAGGGCGTGGGCGGAGCCTTGCCCTGGCGCCCACCGCGGGCGAGGTTGCTGGAACGTTGGCTGGCGCAGCAGGAGTCGGCGCAGCGGCGACGGCAGGGCTGGCCGTGGGCCTTGCGGGCGGCGCAGCCTACGGCCTCGCACGCGGCACGGGCTGGGCGCTGGACAACACGCTCTTCCGGCCTCAGCAGGGCAGTGAGGACGCGGCCGTGCAGGCGTCCGGTCCGCCAACAGCATGAATGACGCCACGCAGCCCCAACACTTTACGCTGCCCTCGCAATCGTTCCGTGTCCAGGCGCAGTCCATCCACACGGCGCGCCCCTTCTCTTGAGGCCTGAACCCCGTGACCCTGCCCCAGTCTCAGCCGAGCTCGCGGCCGAGCTCTCGCA